GGATCCTGGGAAAAACAGACTCAGATCCCACCCGGGATCCAGGGAGAAACAGCCTCAGAGGGGCTCCAGTAGGAGATACAGAGATGGATATGTGTGTATACATAAAAAAATACAATATATATATATATATATATATATATACACACACACACATACATATATACACACATATATATGTATAGTTACATACACACATACATATAAAGCTATAAAAATATAATACTACACATATATTTACACTCACCTATATATAAACATGATATATATGTTTGGAATTGCCTGTGGATATACATGTCTACACTGTATGCTCCATGTATTCATAATATTATTATATTCGATGTAGTTATACATTATATATTGCATTACATCTATTATATAAAACAGTGTATATTATAAATACTTATATATATATATACAGAAACATATATATATTTGTGTATACATGTGTACATTGTTTATTGTGTATTTTATGCATAAATTATATGTGTTTATAAATTATATGTATTTGTATATTCTACTGTCATCATAATATAATTATGTTTACTTTATTACGTTTAAAATTTTATTCTGTGTGTTCATATATTCTATGTGTTTATACAGTGCATATTACATAGAACACATAATATTTGTATTTATATATACATACACATATATATAAGTATACATTGCATTTTATAAGGCATGAATTTATATATTCTACGTATGTGTTTATGAATTACATGTATTTATATACGTGTTTATGAATTGTATGTATTTGTGTATCATGTTATATGTGCAATCACAATAATTTAATTATATTTTAGGTCTGTATATCTTTATGTACATTTTATATACATTACTTAGATACGTTTGTACATAATGTCTGTAAATATACATATATACACATATCAAATACATATATTTATATTTCTAGATAAATATATATAAAAACATAAAAATTACAAAAATAGAAATTTACAAAAATACTTATATATTTACACATATCTAAATATCTACAACTATATCTATCTATATAAACATATTATATTTTATATTTTATTTATTTATAGTTAATCTTTTATATACATGTATCCTGGGGCTCCCCCTGCCTGGAGCAAGACCGATATCCCCGAAATTTGTTCCCCTTGCTCTTCCCAACCTTTTCCCGGAGTGTTCCCCCTGCTCTTCTCAACCTTTTCCCAAAGTGTTCCCCCTGCCCTTCCCAACCTTTTCCCGGAGTGTTCCCCCTGCTCTTCCCAACCTTTTCCCAAAGTGTTCCCCCCTGCCCTTCCCAACCTTTTCCCGGAGTGTTCCCCCTGCTCTTCCCAACCTTTTCCCAAAGTGTTCCCCCTGCCCTTCCCAACCTTTTCCAGGGCTCCCCTTCCCGTCCCTGCACCCCTCTCCCAGGATTACCCCACACTCCTGTTCCCACTGCTCTTCCCCAGCTTTTCCTGAACCGCCCCCCAAATTTCCTGCCATTCTTTATTTCCCCCTAAACCCTTCCCAGACCCTTCCAGCTGCCCCCAGCCCCTCCCCAGCACCCCCTTTTCCTGGCCATTCTTCCCATATTTCACCTCATCCTGGATCTCTCCTGCCAGCCCCTCCTGTCCCCTTCCTCCCACTCCCAAACCCCAGACTCTTCTGCCACTGACCCTATTCCTTCCAAATCCCACAACCCCTCTGCCACTGACCCTATTCCTTCCAAATCCCACAACNTCTGCCACTGACCCTATTCCTTCCAAATCCCACAACCCCTCTGCCACTGACCCTATTCCTTCCAAATCCCACAACTCCTCTGCCACTGATCCTATTCCGTCCCAGCCCACCCCATTTTCCCATCCACTCTTCCCAGAGGTTACCGCACCCCAGTCCTCCTCCAGCCCCCCAGGCCCCTCTGGAACTTTCCCCCTGCCCACCCCAATTCCCCCCCAGCCCCTTCCAAATCCCACACACCTTCTCTCCCACCCTTTCCCTCTGCGCACCCCAATTCCCTCACAGCCCCTTCCAGATCCCACACACCTCTCCCACCCTTTCCCTCTGCGCACCCCAATTCCCTCACAGCCCCTTCCAGATCCCACAGGCCCTCTCCAGACCCCTCCCCACAGCTCCTTCCCCTCCTCTTCTCCCACCCACTCTTCTCATCTTCTTCCTCATCTCCTCCTGCCGCCAGCTCCTTCCCCACCCTCTCTCCAGCCCCTTTCCCAGCCCTTCCCTCCTGTCCATCCTCAATTCCCCCACAGCCCCTTCCAGCTCCATCTCCCCCTCAGTTCACCCCCTTTCTCTCCCACCGCCATCCCGGACCCCTGCAGCCCGCCGGCCGTCTCTTCCACGCCTCCCTTCCCTCCATTCCCAGCTCCCGCAGCCCCCGCGGTCCCTCACCGCCCGCGGCCCGGCCCGCAGGAGCCGCGCGGGGACTCCGCGCCTCAAGGAGACTCCGACCGCGGCCGCCGCCATCTTGGCGCTGCGCAGTTCCGCCCGCCCCGGAAGCGCCCCCGCCGCCGCCATGTTGCTGCCCTGCCGGAAGCGGGGCACGCCATTTTAGGTGTGGCGGAGCCCTCAGGAAAGTGCGCCATGTTGGGTGTGGCGCGCCCTGTGGGACGCAGTGGGGTGGCGGGGGCAGAACGCCTAAATCCCCGTTTTTGTTCCCTCAGTTCCTCTTGTTTTCCCTCCATTAATTCCCAGGATCATTATTTTGCATGGAGATACCTGTGCTGCCACCTCACTCCTCAAGGGGACCTGCCCTGACACCAACAGGGCAAATAGTGGGTGCTGGGGAGCGACGAATTCCAGAGACATTAAGATGGAAAAATTCCTCCAAGGTCACTCCAGGACCTTCAAGTCCAAGCTGTGCCTGATGCCCACCTTGTCCCCAGCCCAGAGCATTAAGTGCCATGTCCATGCCTTCCTTGGACACCTTCAGAGATGGGGGACTCCAAACTTCCCTGGGCAGCCCCTAACAACAACAACGAAAAAGAAAAAGCCCCCCTGTTGGAAATGATGTAACTTTCCTATAGTTTATAGTTAATTGTTATAATTACTTGTAAGCAGTGCCCACTTTTAGCCAGCAGAAGTTAAAACTTCTTCATAGACTCTTACTTCTATTTTGATCATTAATCACTGAAACCTTGAGTTTGTTAAAGCTAACTCTGACAAGCTTCAATTAAGCCAAAGGGATTTGAAGCTTGGACATCTGGGGTCTTATATTTATGGCCCTTCAAGGACACTGGAGTAACCAGAAAATACAGAGGAGATTGAGGTCTGGAAAGTTGGGGATTCCCAATTGAAAAAGAAGAGAAAAGTATGAAAAAAAACAAAGAATGTGGCCCAGCTTAGCATGAAGAGTGAGAAATCAATAACCAATTGTGGACAGAATGCCTATCAGTTAGAACCCATGACCAGCAATTTCTTTGTTAAAAATGTGCGAATAAATGAAAACATTTTGTGTTGATGTGGATGTTGGAGCTCTGTCAGCCACATACAAACCCTGGCTGAGAATAAAGTGACTCTGGACTCACCAACACTACAAAAACAGTGTTAGAGACAATTTTGGAAGATTTCAGTAACACCCCAACCCCTCCTCACCCCTCTGAGCGCTTCCCTCCCAGATATTCCCCACAACTATTTAATTCCCCAGCTTTTTCCTCACAGCAAATCCATTTATTAGGCGAATCACAAGCAACACACACTGAGGGCAAAGACAGAGGGAGAAGGAGGAGGAAGAGGAGAGAGAGGAGGCCTGGCTATGGTGTGAAGTGCCACCACTTGAAGGCGAAGGGCCGGCGCTGGACGCTGGTGCCGCAGCGCACCTCGCCCAGGCTGCCGTGGTACGAGGCCACGTCCTCCAGGAAGCGGCAGCGCAGCCCCAGCGGCTCCAGCAGCGCGCGGATCCACCGCTCCAGGCAGCACTCGCCGCCCGCCATGGGGCCAAACGGCTTGGGGATGCCCAGGTCCTTGGCCAGGACGATCATGGTGATCTGTGAGGTGACACCGGGGGACAGCAGCATCAGAATGGGTGACACTGAAGGGCTTGGGGATGGCCAGGTCGATCATGGTGACACCAGGGGACAGCAGCATCAGAATGGGTGNTGACACTGAAGGGCTTGGGGATGGCCAGGTCGATCATGGTGACACCAGGGGACAGCAGCATCAGAATGGGTGACACTGAAGGGCTTGGGGATGGCTGGGTCGATCATGGTGATCAGTGGGGTGACACCAGTAGTGTCGGGATGGATGAAGTCAAAGGAAAGATGTTGACCACCCTCCTCTGCACCACTTTTCACAGCTGCCCTCCCTCAGGATTTCAAATCCTGCAGAATTCCTCCTTTTTTATCATTAAAACATGCCTCACCACTTGCAATTTCACCACTTTTTTTCAAAACCCCACTGCAAGCACCACAAAGCCACCAAGCTGTGTTAGATCTGTGTTTATCCATGCCTGGCTGGAAATATTTCCTTTCTCTAGACAGCTGGGGTTTTTTTTGGGGGGGAAAACTTTGGGGAAAATATGCCTCTCACCTTGCAATTTCACCACTTTGAAAGTGTTTTGCCTCAAACCCCCTAAGCCACCGAAATGTGTTATGCCTGTGTTTATCCTGGAAATCTTTCCCTTTTCTAGACAGCTGATTTTTCTTTTTCAGGAAAACTCTGGGGACTCATCCTGGTTGGCTGAAGTGTTTTTTGGGGAGGACCCGAGGGTGGGAACCCCCGCTTACTGTGTTGGGGAAGTAGGGAACAGCTTTGCCCTGCTTGTCCAGCTTGAAGAGGGCTGGCAGGTCGATTATGTCCTCCTCCAGCAAGCCCAGCTCCTTCTTGAGGATATCCCTGTTCCAGTCGATGCAGCGCTGCAGGGGATGGAGCAGAGCAGAGAGGGACCCAAATTCCACCACTCCCTGCCACGGGGAGGGGTTTGTGCCACGCTGGGGTGGTCGCTGCCAGAAATAGAGGTTGTGACCCGGAGTGTCGGGGATTACCTGCACGTACTGGTTCTGCTGCGCCAGGACCTCGTTGGAGAGCACCTTGTTGATGGTGACACGCTTGGTGTCAGTCCCTGAGTACCCTAAACACGCAAAATGCCCTCAAAATGCAGCAGCAATGGCAGGAGCCTGGCTTGAGGTAGGCAACAGAGATGGGAAAAGCCCCCAAAATCAGAGTTTCCTGAGGCTGGGGTCAAAGTTTGGGAAGCTGCGGGGAGGAAATCTCTGCCACTTGGGAAGTGCATTGGAAAAGTCCTGTCATCCATCCTCCTGCCCATGGGAATCCACTGAATTTCTCCAGAGCATTCCCTTCTATGGGGTCACCCCTGGTCTGGGGACAGCTGGGTCCTCTCAGTGACCAGAAGAACCCCTGGAGATATGGAGACCTTCTTCCAACCCCGTCGTGGATCAAAAATCACAATGAAAGGGAAAAAAACCAGTTCTAATCTGGACAGGAGAGCTGCTGGTTGTCCTGCCCCATGCTGGAGCTCCATATCCTTGGAGATATGGAGACCTTCTCCTGACCCCTTCAGGGATCAAAATCACAATGAAAAGGAAAAAGCCTGGTGCTAATCTAGGGGGACACTAGAGCTGCCAGTTGTCCTGCTCCGTGCTGGAGCTCTGTTGGCATTTTCAGAGGCTCAATCCTGGGCAGCAAATATCCCCTCCATGCAGAGGCCTTTATCCCTCCCATCCCACTCACTTTCCCGAAATAGGGCTGGAGGAGGCTGGGGGCGGCGAGCAGGCATCCTGCTGAAGGACACCCAGCAGGGAAAATGTCCCTGCGTGGCCCCGGCTGTGTCCCCTTGCCTTTGAACATGGTGGCTTCTCCCTGTCCCTCCTTCTGCTTCTCACGGAAGAGCCGGTAGCAGGCAGCTGGACTGGCCAGCAGCATCCGGAATCGCTGCGGGAACACGGCTGGGGTGAGCTGCGGCCCTGCAGCCCCAGGGACTCACTTCTGCAAACACCTGAGCTGAAACTTTTAAAATCGGGAGTCTTTGCTGTTATCTAGTGCCTCGTTTAACCCATGGAGGGTTTGGAGGCCTAAGTATTCCCTTTTGAGACATCCAGGTCAAGGCTTGGTTTCCTTGAGGGGAAAGTCGTGTCAGAAACAGGAAAGCACAAGATAGGGAAATGTTCTGAAAAGCTCTGGGAGATGCTGAGCTGCTGCAAACCCCTAGGAATCTTAAGACTGGAATTTCTTGGATACCTTTGCAGGTATCTTTTCCCTTCTATTTACGTTCATTAATAGGCCAGCAAATCTCTTTTTTTGTGCTCACATCCCTCCTTTTGGGGTGAGGAATGAAACCCAAGCAAACACTGGCTGGGGGTGGCAAAGGAAGGAACTCCGGGGTTTTCCCAGCGACATTGGTGACCTGGAGGAGGAGCCCGGGGCAGCATGGGGGGTCTGGGAGTACCTTTTTGTCAGAGGTGGGGACAAAGGTGACAAACTCGTTGACTTTGCCCACGGCCAGCCAGTCAGAGTAGAGTTCCACAGGGGCCTGGACGTGCTGGGCACAGAGGAAATCCCGCACCAGCCTGGTCATCCTGCGGCCTGCGGATCTGGGGGGAAAATTCCCATCAACACCTGCCTGGACACTCTGATTGGGGGGACATTCCCATCAACATCTGCCTGGACACTCTGACTGGGGGGACATTCCCGTCAACATCTGCCTGGATGCTCGGATATAAACTGCCACTGAGGTGGAGGAACCTGGGAGGCACCACCTTCCTCAGGCAGTGGCTGATTAACCCAATTACCCCGAGTTTGGTGGTATTTCAGGGTGCTTTGCTCCCAAATACGCATTTCCCCCCTCTCTTACGCAGGGAAGCTGCTGCCAATGAGGATCCTTCCCAAAGGATACTCCTTGCCAGCCACGGACACGGGTGGGCTGACCTCCACATTCCCAAAGGAGTCCAGGCTGGCCACGGCCTCAAAGAGGGGCTCCTTGTGCACATAGCCGAAATCGGGGCCCTGGGCAAAGAGGAAGTGCCCTGAGCTCCTGCTGCTTCTGTGGTTTTGTCCTCCTGTGTGGGAGCACAGCGACAACAAGGGGACAGGAAAGGCAGGAGGAGAAAGGTCTCAGGGTCACGGAGGGGCAGGAAAAAACGGGACAAGCCAGGAGCAGAGCCCTGGAGCTGGGACCAGATCTCTTCTGTCATCCCCAGCCAAGGTTTAAGTGTCCACATTAAACCAGACCAGATCTCCTCTGTTCTCCCCAGCCAAGGTTTAAATGTTCACATTAAGCCAAGGTTTAAGTGTCCACATTAAGCCAATTAGGCAGCCCAGAGCAAAGTTCCTGGCTGCCTCTGGGAGGAGGTGAACTCCAGCCCCCAAGGGTGACTCTGCCCTGGGCTAAGAGCCACCCCAAGGGCTGCACGGCACTTAAATCCTGCTTAAGCCCTGATTTCCAGGACTTAATATATCTGAGATAGGAGGATCTGTGTGTGCAGGGGTAATTAGCGCTCAGCTCTGCATGCCAAAGCCTGAGGGAGCGTTAAAAACACGACAAAAACGGCAGAGATGGGACCAAAATTCCATTTTCCCTGTGCCCCGGTTGGAGTTGACACAGGCCTGGAGCACACGGCAGCCCCTGGGATGAGATCAGGTGTCCCTGAGGTTTGAGTTAAATCCCAGTCACTTATCAGGCTTGGGTTTCCATAGGGATAACCCAAATATACAGGTTGGAGAAAGTAAGCAGGGAGATCTGGGGGTGCTTCCACCCAGAAATTCCATTTTGAAACCAAGAATGTTTGGAGATGCTGGGATGGAGGGAGCACAGCTTTCCCTGAGGCTCCCCATGCGTTTTTGGGGTGCATTTCTGGGGGATGGCTGAGATCAGATCCCTTTTTCCCTGGGTGCTGAGGGAGGGCCTGAGCATGAGCCACCTGCTCCCAACTCATTTCAGTTTAATAAAACCATGGGGCCTGCCCGGTTTCAACTGTCAGGGCTCTAGTTCATCCCAGGTTTGCAGGTCACATTCAAGTCCTATCAGTTCCACCCTGATTTTGAGGGGATAATTCCCTCCCGTCTCCTTTTTCCCTGGCATGGGTTTCCAGGGGCTCAGGGTTTGACCCGTGCCCATGGCGTCAGCCTAAGTATTCCTAGTTGGAAAATGAGATTGGAAAGGTCGGGCTGAGGATTAGGGAAGGCTTCAAAGCAGAAATTGGAGGATAATGTGTTAGCAGCTCCCAAGGCTGAAATTGCTGCCCTAAATACGAGGCAGGGCAATTCCTAAAGAGGGCAGATCCGTGCAACCACCTGGCAGATTCACTGGATGAATCCAGGACTGGATGTTCCCATGTCAGGCATGAGAAATGATGGATTTCAGCACTCCTGAAAGCCCCTAGCTCTCCCCAGAGGGACAAAAGCTGGGATTTGTCCTTGTCCCCAGTTCCTGCTGGGGATGGGGCTGCTCCAGCTCCTGTCTGGGAGTTGGGGACAGTGACTCCATGGCTGCCTGGGGGTGTCCTGCCCTTCCCCAGTGGGGGTATCTCCAAGGGATCGTCCAATCCAGCTTTTTTCCATTCTGGGCTCTCCCAAAATGCCCCATCCCAGGTTTGCTCTGGCCCTTTTCCTTGGCCAAGGAGCCCACAGGGATGTTCCTGCCACTGGCTGCACCCTGCTCTCTTCTGAGGAAGTAAACTGACCCTCACCCACTTCCCCTCGGAAGCAGCTGAGATATTCCCAGGCATGGAGGAGGAAAGGAAAACGCAACTCATCCCTGGGATGCTTGAGGGGAGAAATCCCATCCTAGAGCTTGGCAGGAGCCTTTCATTCCCAGGGGTGTTGGCTCCTCCACTCCCCTCTGGATCAGAGCTTTTCCAGAGGGCTGGGATGAGGGATGAGGGGATGAGGCTGGAAGTGGCTGGGAGGGAATCTGCATGCTGCTCTCATTTTCCAGGCAATTTCCAGGCATGCATGAAGCCGTGGGCAAGGAGGATTCTGGAAATGGAAACAGGAGCTGGGTGTGGACCCCAGGAGCTTCTCTGCAGGGAATGCAGGGAACCTTCTACTCACCAGCAGCTCCTTGACGGGGAGTTGCTCCATCCCTCTCTCCCGAGGGGAGTCCAGCACCACTGGGAAGCTGTTGTGGGGAGCGTGGGTGTAGCCAAGCCTGATCTCATCCTGGGAAGGGAGGAAATCCCACGTGGGGCACCAGCGTGGAAGGGTTTTCCCGGTTTTTGGAGCCCCCCTACCTGCATCCAGCGGTCACCACGGTTGATATAGCCGAAGCAAACCTTCAGCTTGCAGCTGGCCTTGGCCACCAGGCTCTGGATCTCCTTGGTGAACAGGTAGTTGTCCTTCATGCTGGAGGAGAGGATGGAAAGGGGTGGAAAGGGGTGGAAAGGATGGCAATTCCCTGCTCCCAGCCCGTTCCCAGCCTGGCCCCAGGACCAGTGGGGCTGAGGAAGCACCACCTGTACCTGCACACGAAGAGGTTCACCGGAGCCAGGGTGTTGGGGGTCATGATCCATGGAGCCACTCGGAACACCACAGTGTCCGTGAAGATCGGTGAGTGAGGGATGCCCTGAGGGAGCCAAGCAGAAATCAGAGACGTTCCCCCAGACACCCTTCCCTGAAGTAATTTTTGGGATTGGTTAATGGGATTGCTCTCTATTCCGGCACCATCCCAATCTCCTGGGTGCAGCCTCCCACCTGCCCGGTTCCCGGGAGTTCCCGGAGGTTCCCGACCTCGGCCAGCGGCTCCAGGAGGCTGACATGGATGGACACCAGCCCGGAGAAGGTCTCGTCGGGGAAGCGCAGCCCCTCCACGAAGAAGCCGAGCTCAGCAGCGCCGCCAGGGTAGGGCACGGCGTGGAAGAGCTTCCTGCGGCCCAGCACCTGCACATAGCGCTGCCCGAAGAAGGGATCTGCCAGGAACGGGAACACGGGCAAATCCCCAGGTTCATCGGGATTATTCACCCGTTTCTTCGGGCAAAGAGCTCCCATGCTCAACAGGGTTGGGAAAATGGAGCAGGGAGATCTGGGGGTGCTTCCACCCAGAAATTCCATTTTGAAACCAAGGGTGTTTGGAGATGCTGGGGTGGAGGGAGCACAGCTTTCCCTGAGGCTCCCTGTGTGTTTTTGGGGTGCATTTCTAGGGGATGGCTGAGATCAGATCCCTGAGGAGATCCAGGTGTGAGACCCCTTGAAGCAGGAGTTGAGGGAGTTGGAATTTTGTCATGGACAAGAGGGACGAGGGGACATGCCACTGGCCGGTATTTTTTTGGATAGAGCAGCCCTTGGGAAATGCTCTCATTGAGTTTCTGCCCCTCCACAGGAGGACAATGCTCTGGACTCCCCCTGCATGGAGTTATGAGCCCGAGCTCCTCCACAGCACATTCCTGCCTGGGTGAAGGATTTCATTCCCAGAAAATAAATCCTGGTGCCCACAGTGAGGGATGAGGAGATGTGCTCTGGAGCGTGCTGCTGGCATGGATAAAGCAGCTGGGTGACCTCCAGTTTAACACCCCAGCCCTGCTGGCAGCTGGGAATTATTCCATAATCTGAAAAAACATCCCAATTTATCTCTCTATTTATCCTTGTTTTTAATGGAAATTCCATTTTCTGTAAAAAATCCCAATTTATCTCCTTATTTATTGTTATTTTTAATGGAGATGATTCAATTTTCTGGAAAAACACCTGCATTTATCTCTTTACCCCCTCTTTGTTTAACCCACCAGGAGTGAGAAACACTGGGGAAGCAGGAACCAGAAAAATAAACAATTTAAAAACAGAGGAAAAAAGGAAAGAACCCCAAACCACATGAAGTTTGCAGCAGTGGGCTCTGTTACCCAGCACTTCCTGAGATTTATTCTCCCTCTTTTTACCCCAAAACAGAACCAGCAGGTGGATTTCCTTGGGCATGGTCGGCCTTACGTCCCTGGGCTCTCCTGGGAGCCAGGAGATGGAGCTGAACTCACCCAGCTGGAGGAAAATGGGCCAAAAGCAGCTTCTCTTTCCTCATTTTCACTTCCCAGCCCCTTCACCTGTTCAGTTCTCAGGTAGCCAAACAAACGTTATTTATATTTAAATCCCCCCTTTTTAAAAAAACCACACCAGGCTGTTTGCAGCCACTCCTTTGCTGCATGGCCTTTGTGTCCCCCTCCCTCTGCTTGTTCACCCCCAGAGTTTTCCACCTGATGGAAAAGAGGGAAAGATGGGGGGAAGTGGGGAAGGGATGCTGGAGGCATGGTCTGAAGGGCATGGAGAGGACAAGGCCAGAGATGGGAAGGGAAGGGCTTGTGGGGACCTCAAAGTCATCAGGAAGGAGGAGGAAGGGGAAGAGGAAGAACAGGAAGAGGAGGAAGGGGCAGAAAATAAAGGGGGAGAGGAGAAAGAGGAATGGGAGGAAGAGGCAGAGGAGGAAGGGGAAAGGAGGAAGGGGAAGAGGAGGAAGAGGCAGACGAGGAAAAGGAAGAGGAAGAAGGGAAAAAGGAGGAAAGGGGAGAGGAAGAAGGAGAAGAGGAAGAGAAGGAAGGGGAAAAGGAGAAAGAGACAGAGGAGGAAGGGGAGCTGGAAGAGCTGAGGAAGGCCTTACTCTGCACATGGAAGACCCCAACTTTGTCAGCGTCATTGACAGACACAGAGAGGATGATTTCATAGCCCCGGGGCAGGCGCTGGGGCCCCTCTGTCCTCAGCACCATCTGAGCCATGTCCAGCAGATCTGGGGGCAAACAAAACAAATCGGGTAGTGTTCTCCATGTTCCTCTGGGGGTTTGGGTCTCCTTCCCAAGAAACCTGCTCTTCCTTTGCCACCAGCCTGGGCACCCTGGCAAACCAGAGCTTGTTCCTGTGGGCTGTGACCCAAATGCCCTTTTCCCTTCTCCCTGCCCATCCCTGGCACGGCCAGTCCGTGACCTCGGAATGCTGCGTGGGCTGGGTTTTCCAGGAACGGGTGGGTGGATTCCTGGCTGCCCGCCTCGTGCCTCACCCCGTGCTCCTCTCACCTGCGTGGAGCATCCCTGGCCCGCGCTGAGCCAGCCCTGGAACCGCAGCCGTTCCCCAGCCCTGCCTGGCTCCAGTGAGTTGGCGCGGCATTAATTCCACAGAAATTCCCACGTGGGAAGCTTGCTCAGCAGCTGGTGGGGAGCAGCTGGGTCCTGACCTGGGTGCTGGGCTGGGTCCCTCTCAGGAAAGGTCACAGAGAGGGGACAATGGGGATTTGGGGGCAGGGCATTTGGGGAGCTGTTACCTTCCCTGTTGAACACCTGCTCGCTGTCGCAGTCGGAGGGCGGAATGAAGGGGAACTCCTTGTCACAGCTGACCAGCAGGATGGCCCCGTGTCCCTCTGGTCCCCAGGCCCAGCTTGCCTAAAGCACCCCTGGGGCTCAGTGAGCTCAGGATCCACTGAGCCTGTGGATGTTCCATGGGGTGGGGGGGGCTGGAGTACCTTGTTGGGGCTGTTCTTTTCCACCACCCCATCCCGATCCGCATCCACGTCCAGGGAGATCCCTGCGGGGACAGAGTTGCCTCATCCCCAGGCAGGGTAAAGGGCTTGGCTGCCAAACCCTCAGACCCAGCAAACCTGGCTTTGCTGTCCCCATCCCTGCCTCTGCTCCAGGCACAGGGGACAAGGATGGACTCCTGGAGCTCCGGACTCACCAACACCTGTGAGGAACACCCCGGCTTGGTTGATGGGCTTCCCTCCATCTGCGTAAAAGCTGACGGTGACCTGTGAACCCCAAACCCCATGTTGGGGCAGGATGTTCTCCCTCTGTGGAGTCCCACTCCCAAGATCCCCCTCCTCACCTTGTTGTCGTTGACCTCGGAGCTGGCCCGGCTCATGCTGAACCTCAGCACCGTCCCTTCGTCCAGCAGCCACCGCGTGCTGGCTCCGGACACGGCCTCGGGCTCGGCGCGGCCACGGAACAGCACGTCCACGCTGACCCCCTCGGTGTGCTTCACGCCAAAGGCCACGGCCCCGGCGGGAGCCGCCCTGCCAGAAACACCCAGAATTTTGAGGGATTTTCAGGGCCAGTGCAGCGTTCCCACCGGGATTCATTCACTGCCCGGAGCGCGGCCAAGACCGGGCACGCTGGCGTCTTCACGCTCACTGCTGGCACCTTCCTGCCCTGCTCCTGCTCGGGAACTGGAATTAGCCCGGGTTTAGGGCCAGTCTAGTCCCATGAGTGTTTGCAGACATCGCTGTGGGTAAGGATCTCTAATAATCCCAACCAAACTGGCTTCCCACTTCCATGCAGAAATCCCTGTTTTTTTCCAGCCCAGTGTTTAACAACTCCTCAAAACACTGTGGCCATCCCTCTGAGAGGCTTTTCCAAGGAGAACTCTCATTTCTGGGGGGTTTTATCCAGCCCCAAAGCTGTCAGTGCTGCCGTGCTCCCAGTCCGATGTGCCCTTGCTCTTCCCCTCTCTTGGCTCCTTTTCCCAAATTTCCCTGCCTTTCCAGGTTATTATTTTTGGGCTCTTTGCCCCGATATCTGAGAGCTTGCATTGATCAGGTTTCTTGGATGCCACCAGTCCCACCAAACCCGCACCCTTGGCAAGGGGGGATGAAATCCGAGCACTCCTTTGCTCCCGCTTGGGTGTTCATTAAATCCTTAAATTGCTTTTAATTACACATAGAAAAACTGGTTTAGTTTCCTGGTTGCTTGGATCTGGGGATCCCGCTGGGAAAGGATTTGGTCTGGAGAGGTGCCAGGGGAGCTGGGACTGCACTGCTTGTCTTGAATATCGAGGCTGGGATTTGCAACAGCAGCACCGACCAGAATCCAGCTGGAATGAGCTTTTCACCTTCTTTTTCCCTTGGGGGAAACAATTCCCCAAGTTCAGCGTTGGGTTTGTTTTAGGGAAGCGGGGTTTGCTCTGTGGGGATTTCCCACTTTCCCAAGGTTTTGGTCGTGAGATTTTGTGTTGTTCCCTAATTTTGCAGTCCCTCCCCGGGCTCCTGCTCATCCCTCTGCTCTCCAGCAGCTCCTCGAGGTGCCTCTAGATCTGCTGACCCCAGCGGGTCAGACTGGGGCAAATCCAGGCATGGTCAAAGCTTTCCAGGGATTTGTGCAGCTCTGCAAAGCCCGGGGAGGGTTTTGCCCACAAATTGCATCAAAACGGTGTCGGGGCTGTGGGGTTTGGGGAAGCAGATGGAAAAACGAGGAACAGGGATTCCCAGAGGGATAAACCGGGGGAGAGGTGAGGAGAAAGGTGAAGGTGGAAAGGAAGTTTTGAGGGTCCCACTCATCTGTGGACATCGGTGTAGCTGCCCAGCAGCTGTTGGGTTTGGGAAAGCAGGAAGAAAGAGGAGGAGCAGGGATTTGTAAAAGCGAAAATGAGGAGCCAGGATTCTCAGAGGGAAAAAAAGGGTTGAAAGGTGAGGAGAAAGATGGAGGAGGAGGAAAGGAAGTTTCCTGGGGGTCCTACTCATCCATGGACATCGGCATGGATGTCGCTGCCCAACAGCTGCGGGGTTTGGGAAAACAGGAGGAAAAATGAGGAGCAGGGATTTGCAGAAGGCAAAACAGGAGAAAGGTGGAGGAGGAAGGGGAGTTTTGGGGTCCCTCTCACCCGAACACGTCGGCGCGGACGTGGCCGCCCAGCACGCACAGGGCCTCGATGCGGTTCCCGTGCTGCAGCCGCAGCGTGCGGGGCTCCCCCGGCATCTCCCCGGCCATGGGCACCGGCACCGGGACCTGCCCCGCACAGCCCTTAGTCACTGCTGTTCCTTCCCCCGGCCCGGGCTCCCTCCTCCTCCTCCTCACGGGGCTAGCGGGGCTGGGATGACAATCGGAGCGAGGGGGCGGCTGGGCTGGACCTCGGAAAGCTCTGAAAATGGTCTGGGGGGAGGGAGGGAGGGACAGAGATGGACAGGGAGGAATGGACAGAGATGGACAGGGGTGGATGGACAGCGAGGAACAGGGATGGAGAGAGGGAGGGCAGCTGGCCCCAGGCCTGGCCGGCTCCCAGACCTGGGCAAGGAGCTCCCCCAGCTGTCCCCAGCTCCCGGTCCCTCCTCTCCTCCCTGACCCCAACCCGGGATCCCCAAGGAGGATTTGCGGCGTTTTGGGATCTGGCCGCATCCCTGGGGTGCATTTCACCCCCTCTTTCTGCTCTCTAGGGAAAATCCCTGCGTGCTCCCGCTTTGCCAGCCCTGAGGCAAGAGCAGAAGTCTCCATTTTCCCCCCCTCCTGCTTATTTTCAAAGGGAAATGGGAAGCAGTGGCTGCTAAAGCGAGCTCGGAGCTGGTTTTGTCACCCCGGGCCGCTCGGGAGCGATTCCCGCCCACGCGGGGCTTGCGTCGTTTATTAACACCCGGCTAAATATTCATTTTCCAGCCCAAACTGCTGCCCCAGATCCTGGAAGCCACAAGCAATTAGCGAGCAACAGCAGAGCTCAGGTGGATGTTCCTTATTTCCATCCCTTTCGGGCTTCCCTTTTCCAGCCCCGGCTTCCCTCCTTGGTGATGCATGTTCCTGGTATTTATAGGGATCATCCTCTCCCTGGAATCCCCCAATGGAATGAGGGGGAATGGGGTGGGATTTAAAGCCCTTCCAGCCCAAATAATTCCGGGATTCTGGTGAGGAATATCCCGGATGAGCATCCAGACAAGGAGCTGGGAAGTTCAGGGCTGGCAAAACAGGGAATCTGAGTTAATGGGGTTCATTTCCACTGGAATTGGGATCATTTCCACTGGAATTCGGTTTTTCCATGGAGATATCCCGCGGCTGTGATCGGGAGGGATCCTGGTTTATCCCTGGATCTATCGCGGTTTGCCGGTGAATTCCCAGGAGCTGGGAGCAGATCCCAGCCTGGGGTTTGAGAACAGCGCCATTCCCGAGGGCTTTCCCGAAGCTGCAGCTCGGAGATTAGCTCTCCCTGCATGCCCGCTCGGGGGTCCGGGGGTCCTTCCGGCCGCAGGCACGGAATTCCAGGGAGTAGGAGGGGAATGTTCCCCGGAGCCCTCCGGGCTGCCCCTTCGCGTTCAGGTGGTGCCAACACGTTCCCATGCGCGGCCGTGCCCGTTCCTGGCCGAATTCGGGATGGAGGCGCTGGGGCACAGCCGGGACTGTGCTGGGGCTGGGGGGGTGAGTTTATGGGGCAGAGCTGGAACACAGCAGGAGATCTGTGGGGCAGAGCAGAAGATGGCTCCCAGGTGGGATGGGGGATGCAAATCCTCGCTGCCAATCTGGAGTGGTGGAGCCAAAAGAAAACCCAAAGAAACCTTAAGAAAACCTAAAGAAACCGAAATAAAACCTAAAGAACCTAAATAAACCTAAAAAAAAAACCTAAAAGAAAACCTAAAGAAATCTAAAGCAAATCTTAAATAAACCTAAAGAAACCTTAAGAAAACCAAAAGAATCAGAAAGAGAACCTAACGGAACCCTAAAGAAAACCAAAATAAACCCAAATAAAACCAAAATAAACCCAAATAAAACCTAAAGAAACCCACAGAGGCCCAAAGAAACCTCCAGAAGCCCAAGCCCAGCCAAGCCCGGCGGGCTTTGATAGCTGGTTCCATGTCTCGCCCTGCTGCAGGTAATTAGGTTGACACGGCTCGTAAAGATTCCTGCCTGCAATCTGCATGCAGGGTAATTAACGAGGGGTAATTAACGAGCTGTAATTATCGTCTTAGAGAGATTATCAAACTTTCCTTGGCAGAGTGGTGCTGCAGGATGGGCGAGGAGCGACGCCCCGCAGGGATCCAGCTGTTCCTGGGGGTCGTGTCTGGTTTAAGGGGGGTTTGGAACGGGCTGGAATTGGGGAAAAGGGGCTGGCACTGGGGAAGGATGGAGGCTGGAATTGGGGGAAAGCCAAAGGCAGCCCCCAGAACAGGCTGCCCAGCTCCTGGCTGTGATGGTCAGGTGGGATCCTGTCCGTCATGTGCCACTTTCCCAGGACAAGCTGTAATTAGGGAGAAGCGCTCAGCTCTGGCTGGGCCAGGTGACTCCAAACCCTCCTGTCCCCTAGCACGGCACGTCGGAGCTGATGGCAGGTGGAGGAGGAAGAGGAGGGAGCACAGGTTCCACCCAAAACCCCAGGGGTTTGGGGCTGGGTGAGATCTGCAGCGGCTCAGAAAGGGCTGGGACTGAGCCACAAAACCCACCCAGCCCTGCAAGGTTCATCCCTGTGCTGAGGGATGTGATCCCTCTGGATTTGGGAGAGTACAGACATCCCAGCCCTGGAAGGTTCATCCCCGTGCCCAGGGATGTGATCCTACTGGATTTTGGGGAGCACAGACATCCCAGCCCTGAAAGGTTTGGGCCCTGTGTCCCCTCCTGTGCCCAGGGATGTGATCCTGCTGGATTCTGGGGAGCACAGCCATCCCAGCTCCTGCAGTGCTCCTGGCAGTGCCGAACTCCCCTCCCTGCGGATTCCAGAGTGCCCCAATCCCACTCCCCCGGCCTCAGGGGTGTTCCTGTCCAGCCCCAAACCAGCCGAGCAGGCTCAGGGCATGGCCCCGGCCCCTGCCCAGTGCAAACCAGTGCAACCAGCAGCCTCTGGTGGGGAGCCCAGCCTGCGGCTCTGCTGGGACGCTGCTGTGGGGCCACTCCAGCTCAGGGCTCGTGCTCCCCAGGAAGGCCTAGAGAGCCAACACCATTCCCAGCAGGAATTTGTGTGTGGAAAATGGGGTTTTATCCAAAAGTTCCAGTGAGTGAGGCCTGGGAGAGCATGGAAAGGCCACCAGTGTTCCCTGCTGGAGCATCCTGGCTGCTCCTCAAGTTACTGAAGCTGTTCTGGGGTACGAGACACGAAGCTGGGTGTTGCAGCAGTTAAACTGGGAGGGAGCCCTTTCTCCTTTCCTGAGCCCCTTTGAGGCCTTTCCCCTTTCCCAGAGCACTTTCCCCTTTCCTGAGCTCCTTTCCTGGAGCTCTTTCCAGAGCCTGGCTGGGCTCATCCCAGCAGTTCAATCCCACAGGGAATTCCCTGCTCCTGCAGCTAAGGACGTGCAGCTCAGTGCAGTGATGGCTTCAGCTCCTCTGAGCCCTGCCCGGCTCCCCTGGGCCTTTTCCTGCTGCTCCTCACAGGGGTTTGTCCCTTCCCAGACCCTCCTTCCCATTCCCTATCCTGAGAACATCTCATCCTTCCCATTCCCTGTCCCAAACACATCCCACTCGTCCCATTCCTGGGGGATGAGCTGTGTGGCACAGGGACACTCTGGAGCTGCTCCCTCTGTTCCCTGGGATGAACTGTGTGGCACAGGGACACTCTGGAGGTGCTCTCTCTGTTCCCTGGGATGAGCTGTGTGGCACAGGGACACTCTGGAGCTGCTCCCTGCTGTCAGGGACTCCCTCCCACTCCAGCCGGGTTTCCCAGCTCGTGGGCAGGCAAATCTCTGGGATGGGACGGCCCAGAGATCGATGGATATCTGCGGGACAGACACCTTCCAGCAAAGAGGATCTTTTCCGTGGGATTTTGGCCTGAAAACCCTCCACTCCCCTGAACCTCGAGACACAGAGGAGTTTGAATTTCCTCGGGAGGCCTCTGGTTGTTGGCTGTTGGTGTTCTCCCCTTCCTTGCCTGCTCCATAACCAGTTCTCCCTGCCCCGTCCTCGTCCTCGGGATGGTTGGGATGGGAAGGACCGACCTGAGCAAACATTTCCTTTTGTTCAGCTGTATTCAGGCATGGCCCAGCTGCTGCAGCCGGGGCCGTGACTCAGCCGTGCTGAGAGAGGCCGGCTGGAAAATTTGGAGTGTTTTAAAGAAAATGTCCGGTTTTAATGACAGCATTGTAATAACACCAAACAACCACCCTGTGCTGCCGGGGGAGCGGGAATGTTTAATGCATGAACCCCGGGGTTTGAGATGGAGCTGGGGAGGAACAAAAAGAGGGGAATTAACCCCAAACTACCACTGAGGAGCATCCAGCAGGGCTGGCTCTCATCTCGTGTCCCCCTGGAGCCACCCCAGGGCTGCCCTATCACCTCCATCTCGGGATGGAGGTGGAACCAGGGTCCCCTGGCCGAACCCCGTCATCCCGGGAAGGAGGAGTTACCTTCCCGAGCCTTTTAATCCAGTCCTGCTGGTTTCCCTGCACAGCCGGCGGAGCTCCCTGCCCATGCGGCCGTGCCTGGCTCACCATGGCCCCGCGTCACGTTGTGTCCATGTCCACCAGCCACGCTGCCCGCAGCGTCTGTGTGCTGGGCACCGAGGTCTTCCTGGACACGCGCCGGTAAGGCCTGGGATTGCGGCAGGGATCTTTCCTTCCCCAATCCCAGCCTCTTTTCCCCAATCCCAGTCTCCTTGTTCCCCCAGTCCCAGACCCCTTCCTCAATTCCATCCTCTTTCCCCCAATCCCAGCCTCTTGGTTGCCTCAATCCCAGACCCTTCCCCCAATTCCAGCCTATTTCTTTCCCCAATTTGGGATGGTTTGCTCAGGCTTGGGGCATCCCGGTGCATTCCACGGAGCTGCCAGGATTTGGGATGGGTTTGCTCAGGATTGGGACATCTCAGTGTTTTCCATGGTGCTGCTGGGATTTGGGATGGGTTTGCTCAGGATTGGGACATCTCAGTGTTTTCCATGGTGCTGCTGGGATTTGGGATGGGTTTGGAGGAGAAATGGGTGGTGAGGGACTTGGAGCTCGTCAGGAGTTCACCCAGGTTTGGAGGGGCAGGTCCCGCTGGGTGTGCCTTGAGGGGATGATGCCCATGGGGAGCTCATCAA